TACATGCTTACAAGCTCATATCTCATTATCTCAACCATACTTGCTTACGGACTTACGCAGTCTCGGTCAGAGCTTTTTTTGAGGTCATTAGGCGTTGATGATCAGAGCCTAACTTTCCTTTTGATAACTCTGATTTAGGACCGGTATTGCGTATAGACGCTAACACACATACGCATACACTCGAGCGAAAGTAGCAGGACAAGTATGAAAGATAATTAGCCAAACCACTCCATAACTATCTAGGGTTTTAATTTTCTTTTGGCTTAATTATTTCATAATGTGTCAAGATTCTAGGAATTATTTCCATCTCCATTTCCCGTTTTGCCTCCTGATGGAACTTGTCGGAGATATTGATAACTTCCACCAGAATGTCTTCAAGAATATTTCTGACATTTTGAAGAGAAAAGTTTAGTTCTTTCTTTAGGATTGTAGTGGTATCAGGATCAAGGGGAAGCAAAGAAAAATTAACCAGTGCGTTGTCTCCATCGTACTGTCTGATATGTGTTGTCGCCTTAGAAGGCCCTTCAACTGGGCGCACTGGCTTTAACTAACGTTGTCTTATAATTCCATAATTGTTGAGCTGACTTCCATTTAAAATGAAAGTGTTTGGCGAAGAGATTTGAAGGTCGATTCTACCAGAAGACGATGGCGGATTCCTCTTGCCATGCTGTCGATTGGCTTTACTAGAGCATTCATCGTGATGCTGTTTCCGAGGTAATCTACTTCGATTACGGTAAAAATGTGCTCAGCTTTCTTCCGTCATATGACGAACATCACCAGAGAAAGATATCAACGCCACAACCAAATTCAAGCTAACGAGTCAAGAAAACTCACCGGAAAATCCCTAAAAAGTGCTATATATACTATATATCTGACATCTTTGATTATGTATAAAGTGGCTTGGTTAGCTACAGTCATATGCCGATCTCGAAGCCTGTAAGTGTGCCTCTCTCTGTATGTGTATATACCTGTTTGTGTTTGCTTATGCACGAAAACAGCAGAGATGGCTCAAAGTAATTAGGAAGGCAAAAGTAATATCTGTTCTCGGACATCAAGGTTTAATGACCACTATCTCCTCCTTTCTACATACATATTATAACCATCATTCCGATTGCGCAAGGTCAGACACACGTCTAGTTTTGTTGATGAGCCTATTTATTGTTTTTGGTCTTAATGCGAGAGAGAAAGAGTGAGCTAAGAGTACAGAGAAGTGACTATGATTAGAGCAAAGACAAGAAAAGAATAGTTGCGTCGCCTCATTTTTGCAGGCGGCTCAACACTCTCTCTATCCTTGAATCTTTTAATTAAGCACAAGTAATTTTTACTTATCTTCTTGTTTGTTTCCTTACATTCAATGTATTTCCTATTCAGTTTGTTTTGATGGCTTCTCTAATTTTACATTTAACCGCAGACATGCCATAATCAGCAAAACTAGAAGTTTGAGACGATTCAATCTCATGTCTCGTTTCTGCTCTGTGCTCAGCCAGCTCGGATTTTTGAAAGCAACAGCCTTTGCTCAGCCACCCTTTGTCGAATGGGACAACAAGTCTCTCCAACATAAAAGCAACCACATTGACACATAATTTTGTAGCCACCTGATCTGGATAATGGGTCAACTTTCTCTCTAAAAGTGGGCATAACTGAAGAAAGCGTCGTAGTTTCCCTGAAGACCGTTTTTATTCCCCACTTCCTTACTTGTTCGCCTATCCTTTTAGAGAGAATGCACCAATGTAAAGACAAAACATGATAAAAGGTATCCTTATCTCTTTTTACGTATTTACCATTCAAAAAGCTATTCTTTAATTATTCAATGTTATTTTTAATCAAGGAGATCATTATTCCCAAGAAATTTTATTTCAAGCCAATCCAATTCATTGTCACAATGGTCTCAATCGGCTAGTCTTATGCTTCGAATAATCATAGATTTCAAAACTCCAAACTTTGTTTCATGACTATGATCGAAAAAGATAAGAATAAAGCCGGTATATCTTGGCTTATCATATACACCGCTGCTTAATTTCTCACCGACACTGGTCAGTAAGACATCTAAAAATGGTAAATTATTGTCTTTGTAAAGGATAGAGAGGTTGTTGAGCCGCAAAAAAAAAGGACGCGACTCAAATAGTCTTTTCTTGTCCTGGTTATAATGCACTTTTAGCTTACTCTTTCCCCCTCGCAGTAAGAAAGAAATTTGCCCTGTTATCGAGATCGGGTTGGTACACGATAATGTGTTCATGTGGTCGCTTTTATGTTGGAGAGACTTGTCGTCTCATTCGACAAAGGGTGGTTGAGAGCAAAAGCGCCTGCAGAGGCTGTTAGGTTGATAAATCAGAGCTGGCTGAGCAGAAAGCAGAAACTGGACGCGAGACTGAATGGTCACAAACTTTTCGTTTAGCTTATTATGGCATGTCTGCAGCAAACGTAAAATAAGAGAAGCCATATAAATAATCCGAATAGGAAATATAGTAAATGTAAGGAATACAAGCAAGAACATAAGTAGATGTTGTTTAACTATTTTCACTAATCGAAAACTGGAGATCAGCAACTTTTCACAGGAATCGAAGAAGATTACTGCGAAAACAGCGTCACCATAAATGTTTATGTGGTCATCAAACCTTGATGGCCGAGAACAGACATTACTTTTACTTGTTGGGATTACTTCCATTTCGAGTAAAAGTGTTGGGTTAAGAGATTCGAAGGTCGGTTCCACCAGAATAATTGTTGAGCTTACTTCCATTCCGAGTGAAAGTGTTGGGTGAAGAGATTCGAAGGTCGGTTCCACCAGAAGAATGTTGGGATTACTTCCATTTCGAGTAGAAATGTTGGGTGAAGAGATTCGAAGGTCGGTTCCATCAGAAGACATTGAGCTGACTTCCATTTCGAGTGAAAGTGTTGAGTGAAGCGATTCGACGGTCGGTTCCACCAGAAGACGACTTGAGCTTACTTCCACTTCGAGTGAAAGTGTTGGGTGAAGAGATTCGAAGGTCGGTTCCACCAGAAGACGACGGTAGCTTACTTCAATTTCGAGTGAAAGTGTTGGGTGAAGGGATTCAATGGTCAGTGCCACCAGAAGACGACGGCCATTCCTCTTGACCAGCTGTCGATTGGCTTTACTGGAAGATTCATGCTGACGCTGTTTCCGAGGCAATTTCTTTCGATTCCGGTGAACACGTGCTGAGCTTTCGTCCGTCATATGACGGACATCGTCAGAGCGAGGTAACAT